AGATATCATCTTGTAGTGTAGTCATTAAGAAATTATAAGAATTTTGATTATCCATGAGGGAGATGTAATGCATGAATTTACATGTAAAATTCTTTCATTTTAGAAAAACCATTACCTTGAGCAGTCATTTCCTTGCATGATACACTCTGGGAAAATGTTTTACTGTGAAAAGATTTGAGATGTGGCTAATGTAGGTTCCAATCTATATATACATATATGGAGGGGCCATGGCCCCCAAATATTTTAGGTCTAATTGCTTTTTAGTCCTTAGTTTCAAAGATAGGTATATTAAGCCTTGATCCCTCCCATTTTTTTGGGTTTAATTGCTTTTTTGGTTCTCTTAGTTTTGGAACTAGGAAAATTAAGCTTTGGCTCTCAAATATTTGGGTCAAATTGATTTTAGGTCCATTTTAGTTTTGAAACTAGGCAAATTAAGCATTGACCCACCGTTTTTTCAATTTGAAATACTTCTTAGGTCCCTATCAATTTCAAACTTAAGCAAATTAGACCCCGACCTACTAATGTTTAAATTTAAAATTGATGGTTGTTTGGCATTGCTTTTGATAAGCGGGTGGAAAATTTATTTTGGAAAGTGTTTTTGGATTGTTTGGTTTGAAATTTCAGTGTTTGGGGTTGCTTTTAAAAAGTGTTTTTAAATAGAGAAAAAATCTATTAGTTATTGTTTTTGAAATATAAAAATAATTGGTGATATAAATGAAGACAAAAGAGTCATTTTTTCAACTCAAATTGAAACACACTTTTGGTTTGAGAAACTACTTATTCTGCATTGCTTTTAATCTCAAAAATGTTTTTCTGGCTCTAAAAGCATCCGTTCTGTAATTCTTTTTAAAAGTGCTTTTGGGGCCAAAAGTACTTTTGATGCTAGAAGCTATGCAGAACAAATAGTTTTTCATGCCAAAAGTGTTTTTCAACTTAATTTGAAAAGTGCTTTTAAAAAGCTGAAGTTCTAGTTTTAAGCTTTTCCAAAAACAAGTTTGAGCAAAATTACTCATTTGTCCTCGTTATATCACAAATTCTTTTATATTTTCAAAACCATTGTCTAAAACAGACATTTTATCTACTTAAAAAATCTCTTTTTGACAGCAATCCCAAATACCCAATTTTTTAACCAAACAACCCAAAATCACTTTTAATAAGGCACTTTCCCACCACACTTTCTAAAAGCATTGACTTTGACCCTCATTTTATTATTATTTGTATTTATCCCATGAAGTTTCATTCTGCTCCCTCCCTTTGCATCGGTATGCAACCTGGCTACTTTACATATCACCTTATCATTGGATCAGAAGAAACATATTTTCTTTTTAGTAGTTTTATCTATTCCTTCCCCCTTTGACAGCTGCATGAGTATGTTTGTTTGGAGACCATCACCATATCTTGTGGAACTATGATTCAGTTGGGTTATCTTTTTCGGAATCTGTATGTTTCGGTTGAGAGACATGTACCCAGAAACCTAAAATATTTTTTAAGTTATAACTATTAGCCATCTGTGTAGAAGTTTGTCCCAAAGTTTTGCAGTTAACTTTTTATGTTTGTGATTGCTCTTATTACTGATTTTTTTTAACCTTTTCTTTAACATTTCATTTTTGGAATTTAATTGAAGTTGGGGAAGAAACCAAAATGGTCAACTTGGTCTTGGAACCACTGAAGACTCTCTTGTGCCTCAAAAGATTCAAGCCTTTCAGGTTGTCCTGTAACTTATTTTCATCTAATGCTCCATTTTTTGTTGTTTGTACTTGAGCATTAAAATAAGCTAACCTCTCTGAATCCAGGTTCCCTGTTTTGTTGACCTTAATTATAATCGTATTATGAATTGCTTTGCGCTCAAAAGTTGTATTCTATAAGATTCAAGAATGTAGGATTTATATTTGAACAAATCGGAAGCTGCATTTAGCATGTTGTGATACTATCAGGAGATGAGAGACATTTGTCAGTTTCTTTGATTTTATGATGAAAAAATATGCAATTATTTGAAGGAAGAATCCTGTTATAGCGATGTGTTATCCAAAAAAAAGAAAAGGAAAATCCTGAAATGTGTCCGACAATTTGTTAAAAACCTCTGAACTTATCTATCTAATTTCTTTCTTGCTTGCTTTAATCAAGCTAAAAGTTGCATATACACTTTGTTGAAGTGATTATCACCTTGTACTTTATGTCTGTTAAAGGGTATTTCCATCAAAATGGTTGCTGCTGGTGCTGAGCATACTACAGCTGTTTCAGAAGATGGCGCGCTCTATGGATGGGGGTGGGGACAGTACGGAAACTTGGGATTAGGTGACAGAAATGATCGCTTAGTTCCTCAGAAGGTTTCTACTCTCAGTGTAAGTCGCTAACTTGGGCTTAGATGATTGATCATCGTCAATAGATATGCAAGACAGATAACTCATAACACCTCGTTTTAAGGTTGAATGCAATATATATGAAGTTCCATGATTTTGGAAAGGTTGCATCTGTTGCTTTAATTTTTATTTTTTCCCTTTATCCTATGGTAATTAAAAGTATCAGCTCTTTCCTTTCGTTTTTATTATTCAACTATTTTGTCTATTTTCCCTATGTTTTTTTGGGGGGTACATAAGAATATAGCGCTAATGCATTGGTTTTTTTTTTTTGTTTGAAATGCAAGTTCTTTCATGCTTAGCTGAAGTTCTCCTTTCATAGACTTGGAAAATCATTTTAGAAGATTTTCATTAGTAGCTGTATCTCCAAGACACTGAATGAAACAAAATTGTTTTTTAAGCTCAAATGATATGCCAATTTCAATAAATATTCAATTAAGCTATAGGTCATATAGCATAGTACGCTTAAATTGACTATAAGGTGATTCTGAAGCTAATGGGCTAATGTTATCAGGCATGTAATATATATCAATCTTTTACAGCCTTGAATACATAAAAAGTTTAAGGGATGCATATTCATCTTCATCATTCAATTTAATGACCGAAGGAATGTCACCATAAAATAAATAATTATGTTTATACAAGTCAGTATAGGCCGTAACAACTATGATTTAAGATACTATTAAGTAATTCATTCACCAAAGTTTAAAAGTTCTAAATAACAATCTATGAACATCTGTTCGACAAAAACAACAGATGAATCAAGAATTCATTACATTTCATCAAGATGTTCATCAAGATGTTCATCAAGAGTAAACTTACAGGCATAGGCCATGGATCCAACCTTGAGTTACTATAAAGCGCAAAGATAAATCATATTTAGTCTATTTCATAGACAACACATTTTATTAGCCAAACATTTACCGAGAATAATTTTATAATATGATAACGAATTTCGAACTTTGGAAATAATAAATTAACCATTTAGGCTAAATTCTCATCTTTCCAATGAAGAATATGCTAGCAACAAGGTAACTTTTTGAAAAAGGGTTGACTTTCTCAAAAATCATTTGACTGCAAATATTCAGTCGAGAACATGTATTTTTGAGGAAAAAATGGTAGGACCAAAATATTTTCTGTTGTAGTAAGAATTTCAGACTAAAAGCCCTTGGTTTCCATGTTTTCTGTTGTAGTAAGAATTTTTGGTTGCAGGGAGAGAAGATGAATATGGTTGCTTGTGGATGGAGGCATACTATATCAGTCTCTGATGCTGGTGAATTATACACTTATGGATGGAGCAAATATGGTCAACTGGGACATGGGAACTTTGAGGATCATCTGGTTCCACATAAGGTGGATGCTTTAGCCGACAGTTTTATTAAGCAGGTGAAACAATTCCACTTTACAATCTGTGATGTTTCTTTCTTTGGAATTTAAGTTTATGTGAAGGTTTTATGGCATTTGATGGTTTGTTATTCCAGCGTTACTTCCTTTTTTCTTCTGTTCTCTCATTAGTTTTCCCTTTGATATTTATTTTTCCTTATTTTCACTCCTTGTTCTGCATCAGGTAGTTAGGAGTTTACAATCTGTGATGTTTTTTTGTTATTTATTTACAAGGGGGTGACTACTTTCATTGTTGCATGCGATGTTTTGGCTGTCAGTTCAACTCAGTTTCCATCTGACCTTTTATAACTAGTATAAAATCATACGCATATACCAGGTAGAATTATTCTGGTGATATTCTATTTCATTGTGTATGATTCCTCGCCCTCCAACCCCTGCAGAACTTTCTGTGGGAAGTATCCTACAATTTTCTCAGACCTATCTGACGTTAATGCATCATTAGTTGTTCTTTTCATGATATCTGATGCATGTTATGCTTCATTCCATTTTCCTTCCATGATATTTAATGCTTTATTAGTCATTCTGTGGGAAGTATCAGACCATTTTCTTTTCAGGATATTTTGTTTTAAATTATTTTTGTTGCATTTTGGTTTGAATCTTTTTAGATATCAGGTGGATGGAGACATACAATGGCACTCACATCTGGTGGAAAACTCTATGGCTGGGGATGGAACAAGGTTTAAAAAATCAATTTTCCTTGGTTTATATGTTTGAAATGCATCTTATCACTGTGTTGCGGAATTAGTTAATTTGCTTGCAAAAACATTAATCATGAACCTAGAACCCTTTTCATATGTATATTAGTTGAGGCATTATTCCCTCTAAGCATCTTTCAATTTTGGTAGACATGCATGCATACATGTAGGTGGAAAATATTTTCCTTGATTCTTCATTTTTTGAAGTACCGTCATCTGACATAGGAGTATGACCTCCAAAGATTCTACAAGTACATGGAAAACTTCGAAAATTTTCACCATGTTATGACACATATCTGAATCCGACACTTAGACTAGGTCCGAATAACATAGGATTGACTTCTCTGCAGGATTATAATTTACTGGTGCATGTGTCTTAAGGTTTTATGAGATGTTTAACTACATGATCATGAATGCTTGTCAAAAGGCTAATAAGTAATTAGTGCATTTTCTTCATTTAGTTTGATTTGTTCACGCTTTACCTGTAGTATCTGTTGTCCAACTTATATTGATTAGATTTTCTACCTCATTTACAGTTTGGACAGGTCGGCATTGGTGACAACACTGATCATTGCTCTCCAGTGCACGTTAAATTTCCTCATGAGCAGGCACATTCCTATTTCTGTAGCTTCTGAATATTAAGATAGCATTTGAGATTGTTTTCAGTTATTTCGGAATTCTATGATAGAGGTTAAGCGGTCTCTTCTCATATGTATGTCTTACTTGGCAGAAAGTAATTCAGGTTTCATGTGGGTGGAGGCACACACTTGCTATTACTGAAGAGCGAAATGTCTTCTCTTGGGGAAGGGGTACAAATGGACAGCTCGGGCATGGAGAATCAATGGACCGGTAATAGCATTTTTCCTGGACAAGCGATGACCAGTGGATATTTTCATCCTTGGTTAGAATGATGAGCTCTAAGAATAACATGTAGGGATAAGTCTCAAGTAAAACAATGAAACTAACAAAAATATTTAGAGGATGCTGAAAATGTGGAGGGGTCATAACTGATTATGTGTAAGAGAAAAGTGTAGTTCCTTGAGAGTATAATCCGAGCAGAGTTAATATCTGTTTTCTACTTTTCTTTACTGTTCTGGACTCGTGATCTGTATTCATGATAAAATTTTGAATTAGATAAAGGAAGTTCTTATTAGGAGACGGGTTTCATCTAGAGTGATTACAGTAAAGAGCACTGAGAGCCAACTTTTATTCTGTTTGTCCATTGGTTCAAATTCAAGCCTGCATTACTCGCTATATTTTATTCCTGGACAGTTTTCAAATGTGGTACCTTTCATATACTCTCTCAATGTGTTTTGGTGGAAATTGAGAACATTGTGCTGTTTATTGACATTTTCGGTTTTTGTTTTCAGGATCCTTCCAAAGATTATAGAGGCTTTAAGTTTTGATGGTTCGAGTGGGCAGCAGATAGAATCTTCAAAGCTTGATCCGTTGTCAGGTGCTGTGTAATCGCATTAGATGTCCTTCCTGCTTTGATTTCTGTTTTATTGATGATTCAATATTCTTTGTTCTATTGGCAGGTAAATCCTGGGTTTCTCCAACAGAGCGATACGCTATTGTCCCCGATGAAAGTGTAAGTTTAATGAAATATTGCAGAATCTGGAAACCTTTTAAACACATTTTTCAAGCTGCGTGCATATATATTTGACTGTGTAGGCAATGCTTTCAACATTTCTTTGGTATATGTATATATCTAATAAGTACCGACTGCATATTTTCGGTGTAAACTTTTTGGGGTATTGTCTGTCAGTGTGTATTACAATGTTAAATACAAATATTTCGAGAAAAAGTATCTTGGACCTCTGTTGAAAACCACCAATAGCATGTATTTCTAATTGAAAGTAGTTTGATCAAATCTAACTTTCTAGTTTCTTCCATGTTTCTTTTTGTTGTTCCTGCAATTTCATGAGGCCACTGACCGCTTACCATAATGTGCATGCAGGGGCAAACGGTTCATTCCGAAAGGGGTAATGGTGGTGATGTGAGTGTCCCTGAGACTGACTTAAAGCGAATGTGAATGTGATTCCTCGCATTCAGTCTGAAAATGGAAGTGAAAAATTTGGGAATCCTCGCATCATCTTTTAACATATCATTGAAGAATAAAGAGATGATGGTTTTTTCTTGCAGCAAAGCCTTGTAAATTGGAAGGGCATTTATGAGTAAGGTGAGTGTGATTGTGCTGTTATTATTTACTATTTTTGAGCATTCTAGTATATAGGAGTGTGTCGTAACCGTTTTCCGGGTGGAACAATCGTTTAATTGTTTTAAAAATGATTACGACTTTAATTTTGGAAAATCCGGTGATTTGGAATTAAATTGGATAAAATTGGATAGAATCGCCATCAACCTTTGGGTTAGGTAGGTCGAATACCTAAAAATGTCTTTTAAAAATAATTTTAAGAAAAATCATTTTTTAAGACAAAAGTTGGTCTGCGTTTACCAAAGATTCTATTAAAATAGGTTCGAGAGTCGGTTACGCGTGGGGAAGGATTAGCACCCCCACACCGCCCAAAATTGGTACTGTGTCGCTTACACATTGTCGTAATGGTGAAAATCCTGAATCAAATATAAACTTAAAATATGATCTTTTTATCAAATATTGATTAATTTGCTTCAATAAAATTAATTAGAGAAAATCTCTTTTCAATTTACATTAATAAACTTAAAATACCAACATAGTAAAATAGAAACTTATGGATTAAATAACAAAAATAAAAATTTAAAATACCAAAATATCGCAAACAAAAACTTAATGTACTAAAATGATAAAAACAGATAGTTAAAAGATTAAAATAGTAAAAATAATAACTTTAATGAATAAAAATAACAAAAATCAACGTTTAAGGGACTAAATGAAATTAAATTCTTAGAATTGAAAATACTAAATAATACAAGTATTAAAAATGAAAATTAGGATTAAAATGTAATAAATAAAAAAACGTGAGGGTTGAATCATGCACATGAGGTTAACATGCATAGAAATTAAAATAAAACCTGGTCCTATATGCATCAAATTACACATTTACACGCTGCCAAGCAACCAGATTTTACGAACACACAAAAATATAATAAAATCCAATTATTAGTAACCTTTACATGTTAACACATCATTGACGAAACTAGATAAGGGATAAGGATCAAAATAAACTAAACAACTAACATTCAAACTAAATCCTAAATAAGACTTTAAATAGCTACCAAGATTTTAAAGTAGTAATAAAGGTAAAGTCAAACCTCCCTGGTGAACCCAACGTGATTATTATTATTATAAACATATTTATATGATAAAAGTAAAAAATAAAGGTGAACACTATTCAAAATAAATAACATAAATCAAAGAAAGAATTATTGAACATGACAATTGTGTAAAAAAAATCCTCAAAAAGATACATTCTTGTAGTTGGGATATATCTTCATAAATTTACCTCACATTGAAATTTCTTTTATTTTTGTATATTAATTACCATAATGATTTACAAACAAAGTGGAAATAAAATTTCATAATTACATAGGTTATACAACATATAAAATTATAATTATCGATGAACAAAACATAGCAATAATAAAAAGTTAAAAGACTAAAACAGTAAAATAGAAATTCAAGAGACTAAGATGATATTAACAAAACTAATATGGCTAAACATTATTTACAAAATAAACCGAAGTCTAAATAAAATGTTGAATAATATAAGTATTATAAATGTAAATAACATTTTTTTTAAAGTAGCAACTTACCTAACGCATGAAATGGTGAAAAGCTAGTATTATAATAACAAATAATTATTTTATTAAAAGTAGCATAAACACAAAACTAATATCATATAATAATGCAACAAGACCTTTACCTAATACATCAATGATATGATGAAAAGCTGGAAAGTTATGAAATCAATTAATTAAATATAATATTCACACATTTTATAAAACAACGATAATTTATAGCAAATAGATTTAAACATATGTTTGGACCTTACATATGATACAAGTGAATACCTAACATTAAAATATGTACATAGGGGCCGAAATAAAATATTAGTAATAATAAGTCAATGACTAAAATAAAGAAAAAAATAAAGTAAATGCCGAAATCTAAAATAAATAAACATGGGATGTAACATATTAATGACTAAATTAAAAATAATGGAACTAAAATATTGAAAATAAAATAAATTAAAAAAGAGAGGATTCGTGTATCCAAATGTAAAAATACAGTAACATTACGAGGGGTTAACACAATTTTACACACGAATTTGGTGACCGTTTTGTAAAAACGTTCTAAATGTTAAAGGGTTTAAGCATGATTTTACAAGAAGGTTGATGGCCAGAATATAAACACGGCAAAGGTTAAATGGCCTTAGTGAAATTTACCCAACTATTAGCTTATATATCATATATCATATAACATATTTTGGCTAACAATTCTAACCCTAGCCGTTTTACACTTCTCTTCCTTCACTCTTTCTCTCTTTTCCTTCAACCTTCCTTCATAACCTCCTTCACTCTTTCTCTCTTTCCTTCAACCTTCCTTCATAACCCTTCGGCTGCACCTCCTCTTCACACCAGAACAACCGGACGGCCACCCTACCTTGGTGGGCGGATCTTATTCCAAGGAAACCTCAAGTCTCCTCTATTTTCCTAGTCCCTAAACCGAGATCTAGAATAAAAAAATATACCAAAAGCCTCCTAAAATAACTCTCGAACCATCCCATTGTTACTGTGAACCGAAGATCCCTTCTCCGATCGGCCACCACTCACCGAAGGTAAAACAAGTTTTTTTTTTATCCTATATTTCGAATGAAATCAAAATAAATAAATAAATAAAATTGCATGCAATGTAAAGATACCTTTGAGAAAAATGCTGCTTATGAATCTGATTTTTTTTTTTTTGCTGTGTATTGATGATTTTCGGATGATTACATGATTTTTTCAATGATTACAAGATATTACTTTTTTTCTAATCTTCACCTGAATCTTTCTCTCTGGTTTTTTTTGTTTCCCTTGATAATTCTTTTTTTTTGTTCTCACCGAATCTTTTTTCCCCTCTCCTCCTCTAATCCTCTGCCTATTTTATGGTTGATATCTCCACCTAATCTTAATGGATGCATCTGCATTTTCTTCGTTTTTGGTAGGATATTGACAGGTTAGGTATGATTTAGGTGATATGCTTTTGACTTTGCTGATATTGTTTGTTTGTTTTTGCTGTTCAGTGGCCGACATGGTGATGATGATGTTTCAACTTGCTCAGATGTGACTAGCCTTAGTGACTCGTCGGTGGAGAGGCTTGGTACTGTTATTGATCTGGGTCTGTTGGGTTGCTTATAATTGGGCCACATTTGACCTGCATAAAAATATAAACACATTTAATAATAATAATAATAATAATAATAATAATAATAATAATAATTTAATAATATTTTTTAACTCTGACAAAAAAAAATGGGTGTCTACAGCTGCCCCTCTTTGCACATTCTTGTATTAACAAGAATAGGGCAAAGACGAAAAAGACAACCATTTTTTTATTCTTCCTTCGTCGTTAGATTGAACAAGTTCTTCTCATTATGAACTTCTTTTTTCTCGTGGATGAGTTCTTCTCATTATGAACTCTTTTGGAAATGTTGATCCAAATCCTTTTGCGGTGGACTTAGAAATAACATGTTTTTCTCATTATGAACTTTCTCCTTTAGGACGAATTCTTCTCATTATGAACTTCTTCTTCCTCGTTGGATGAGTTCTTCTCATTATGAACTCTTCAAGAAATGTTGGTTCACCTCCATCTGTGGTGAATTTGAAAGGAACAAGTTCTTCTCATTATGAACTTTCTCCTTTATGATGAGTTCTTCTCATTATGAACTCTTCATTGAAAATGTTGATGCGAAATTGAACAAGTTCTTCTCATTATGAACTTCTTCTTCCTCGTTGGATGAGTTCTTCTCATTATGAACTCTCATGAAAATGTCAATCCCTCAAGCGAGGTATCACTGATTCAAAATGTCATAAATCGAGTGATAAGTCGAACAAGCTCTTCTCATTATGAACTTCTTCTCCCTCTGTCGAATGAGTTCTTCTCATTATGAACTCTCCATTGGAAATGTTGGTTCACCTCCTTCTGCGGTGAATCTTAATTGTTATTGACTCTCTCTGAATTTCTGTCAAAACATTCAAAGCATTTCAATGAATATGAATGAATGAGCATGTTCCTATTTATAGATGCTTACTGATGTATGCATGATGGCATTTTATTATTATGAACTTTGTGGTCCTGCAAATTTTCATTTTAAATGCATCATTCGTCCTTTCGTTTGCACTCCACATTTTGCTTGGGCTATTTTACGCAAATTCTCATTTCTCTTGTTCCCATGCAAATCCTTTTATGTTTCCTTTTTGAACTGCTCATCTTTGTCAGCGTATCAAAATATCAGTGTTTTCAATGTGCTTTCTTTTCTCAACTCACATGCATTTTCTTTGGTCATATCATACCCTAATCTTTTCAATCATTAGGGCTAGAATCTCTAATATGGAAGTATTAATTCAGAGTAATACCAAAATCTTTATTTTTTAATGCCATGTCAATCTACTTATAAGAAGAATGAATAAAATTGGAACTTGAAATAACAAACTTCGAATTTACTGACAAGAAATTGAATTTACAAAGTTATGGCAATCACATGAATAATGGAAATTTAAAACCATAAGTCAAATGTCCTTATGGATCATTAGCACGAATGTTCCTGAATCAATCCACTTGATATAACTATTGAGTTGAGCTTCTGTCTGGAGGACTTCGAGAATTGCCAAAATGTCTATAGATGTGAAGCTTCTCTCAAAATATCAGACCCTCAAGAAGATTTAGTTGTCTGATGCCTAATCTCAAAATGCTTTTGAGCAGCCTTTTCAGGTTTTCAACTCAAAGTCTTCCTTTGGTTTCAAGATGTCCTTTGCGGATTTTCATCTCAAACCCTCCTTTTTCTCTTTTTATTTTTTCATTTCTTTTTTCATTTTTCATTTTTTTCTTTTTCATTTTTTTCATTTTTCATCTTTTTATTTGTTCCTTTTTTTTTTCTTCAAGCATAGTACTTCTTGACAGAGTCTGAGTTTACTGGATTTCTCAATTTTTCTCCATCCATCTCTGCCAAGATCAACGCTCCCCCAGAAAAGGCCTTATTGATAACATATGGACCTTCCCAATTAGGCATCCATTTCCCTCGGAAATCTTTATGAATTGGCAGGATCTTTTTTAGCACTAGATCACCCTCTCGAAATTCTCTTGGATGAACTTTCCTATCATGAGCTCTCATCATCCGTTTCTGATACATCTGACCATGGCAAATAGCTTTTAATCTCTTTTCTTCAATGAGATTCAATTGGTCAAACCGAGCCTGAACCCATTCAGCTTCATCCAATTTCACCTCTTTCAAAATTCGAAGTGATGGGATTTCTACTTCCACTGGCAAGACTGCTTCCATCCCATATACTAAAGAGAAAGGTGTTGCCCCTGTCGAAGTTCGCACTGTAGTTCGATATGCATACAAGGCAAAAGGTAATTTATCATGCCAATCTCTGTAAGTATCAGTGGTCTTTGTGATGATCCTTTTAATATTTTTATTTGCTGCTTCCACTGCTCCATTCATCATTGGACGGTAGGTCACTGAATTAGAATGTTTTATCTTGAACTGAGTACAAAGTTCTACCATCATCTTGTTATTCAAATTAGTGGCATTATCTGTGACAATTCTTTCTGGCAATCCATACCGACAAATTATCTCTTTCTTTATGAATTTGCAAACTGTAGATCTCGTGATATTTGCATACGAGGCAGCCTCAACCCACTTAGTAAAGTAATCAATTGCCACAAATATGAAACGATGTCCATTCGAAGCCTTTGGTGTAATTGTCCCAATGACATCCATGCCCCACATAGAAAACGGCCATGGTGTGGTCATCACTTGCAAAGGTGACGGAGATGTATGAATCTTATCCCCATAGATTTGACATTTGTGACATTTTCTTGCATAATCAACACAGTCTGAATGCATAGTGGCCCAATAGTATCCATATCTCATGATCTTCCTGGCCATAGAAAGCCCATTGCATGTGTTCCACATATCCTTCATGCACTTCTTCAAGTATACCTTTGCTTCTCGGGCATCCACACATCTCATCAAAACTTGATCACTACCTTTTTTGTACAGAACTTCCCCATCTAATACATATCCGGCAGCCATTCTCCTTATTGTCTTTTTATCGATCTCAGACGCACATTGTGGGTAAGTTTGATGCTTGATGTATTGCAAAATATCATAATACCATGGACGACCATCTACCTCTTCTTCGATATCATAACAGTGTGCCGGGGTATTATACATTTGCATATTAATTGGCATCATGTCAACTCTTCTATTTGCTTGGAACATTGCAGCAAGTGTGGCCAAAGCATCAGCCATTTGATTATCTTCTCGAGGGAGATAATTGAAAGTGACATCTTCAAATTCTTTTACCAATTCAAGGATCAATCTTCGGTATTCCACTAACTTTAGATCCTTCGTCTCCCATTCTCCTCGCAATTGATACACCACTAGTGAGGAGTCTCCATATACTTGGAGCACTTTGATTTTTCTTTCTATAGCTGCTCTTAACCCCATGACACAAGCCTCATACTCTGCCATATTATTGGTGCAAAAGAACTCCAATCTGCTTGTAAAAGGATAATAGACATTTTCTGGGGAAATCAGTACTGCTCCAATTCCTTGTCCTAAAGCATTAGATGCTCCATCAAAATACAACCTCCAAGATTTATCATCTGAATTTGTTTCCTCCTTGGTTGTGATGCACATCAGATCCTCGTCTGGAAAATTAAAATTTAAGGACTCATAATCATTTGAGGCACGACTTGCAAGGAAATCTGCTATGGCACTCCCTTTGATTGCTTTTTGGTTCACATATACAATGTCAAATTCTGATAACAACATCTGCCATCTAGCCAATCTACCAGCTAAAGCTGGTGATTCCATTAAAAATTTCAAAGGGTCAAGCTTAGATATCAACCAAGTAGTATGGTATAACATGTATTGCCTGAGCCTTCGAGTAGTCCATACCAAAGCACAACATAGCTTTTGAATTGGTGGGTATCGACTCTCACAATCAGTGAACTTTTTGCTTAGATAATAGATAGCTCTCTCTTTCTTTCCAGATTCATCATGTTGCCCCAATACACATCCCATTGAATTTTCAAAGACCGTTAGATAAAGGATCAATGGTTTACCAGGGACTGGTGATACCAGAATTGGAGTTTTAGATAAATATCCCTTGATTATCTCCAAAGCCTTTTGGCACTCGTTGTTCCAAACTTCGGGGTTGTTCTTTCGAAGCAATTTGAAAACTGGGTCACATTTTTCAGTTAATTGTGAAATGAATCGAGATATATAATTTAACCTTCCTAAGAATCCTCGAACTTCTTTCTGTGTACGAGGCGGTGGAAGATCTTGAATGGCCTTTACTTTATCTGGATCAATCTCAATTCCTTTTTGACTAACCACGAAACCCAAGAGTTTCCCTGACGTTACCCGAATGTGCATTTAGTTGGATTGAGTTTCAATTGATATTTCCTCAACCTTTGGAAAAGCTTCCTCAAGTTTTGAATGTGTTCACCTTCAGTCCTGGACTTGGCAATCATGTCATCCACATACACTTCAATTTCTTTGTGCATCATGTCATGGAAAAGAGTCACCATAGCTTTGGTAAGTTGCCCCAGCATTTTTCAAACCAAATGGCATCACTTTATAGCAAAATATGCCCCACATAGTCACAATGTAGTTTTTTCCATGTCTTCAATGTTCATTTTATTTGGTTATACCCGAGAAGCCATCCATAAAAGAAAACCACGAATGACCAGCAGTGTTATCCACTAAAGTATCTATATGAGGCAATGGAAAATTATCCTTCGGGCTTGCTTTATTAAGATCTCTGTAATCCACACACATGCGAACTTTACCATTTTTCTTTGGCACAGGGACTATGTTGGCAACCCATTCTGGATACTTTGCCGCTTGAAGAAACCCTGCATCAATCTGTTTCATCACTTCCTCTTTAATTTTCAATAACATTTCTGGCTTCATTCTTCTGAGCTTTTGCTGAACTGGCTTACACTCAGGCTTTATCGGAAGCTTGTGCACCACTATGTCTGTACTCAGTCCTGGCATATCTTGATAAGACCATGCAAAGATATCCTTGAATTCTCGGAGCAGATCTATCAATTCTTGCCTTATCTCGACAGAAAGTGTGCTGCCGATTTTAACGTCTCTCTTGTCATCATCAGTTCCAAGTTTATAACCTCAGTTTCTTCCTGGTGAGGTAAGATCTGTTTGTCCTCCTTTTCTACCAGTCTTAATAGTTCGTTAGGAACATCACATTCTACCTCATCCTGACATTCATTGATTTCTTCCAAATATATGGGCTGCTCAAAGTTTATCTCAGTATTAAATTCAGAAACATTCATGCTATTGATATTGTGACACCTGCAAATGGAAAAATTGAATCGAATATATTTGAAAGGAGACCAAAATTTATGAAATGAATATAAAGAATGAAAATGAAAATGTAAATAATGATAGCCATTTAAGAAACAAAAGACTGTCTTTTATTGAAAGCAAGTAGAGTTAACATAGCTGCCCTTATGAAAATTCCTTAATACTTGCGGGCACAAGTATAAGGATTAGTATTGGGTATTACTCTGAATTAATCTTAAAAACTACAGGGAGATCCTCTGCAGTCCAATTTTTCAGTGTTTCCCCTGGGAAGCAAGGACGGATTCCAGCCAATATCTTCCCGCTTTATCATCCCCAGTTATCATGTTAATGACCAAACCCTCCATAGCTTCATTGAACAAGTCTCTGTCTTTCATCTGCTCTTCTTCATCAATTGCTCTGGCTAACTGTTGCTCCATATCAAAAACTCCCCCAAACTTGAAAGAGCTTTCTAGGGGAGGGAAAAGCATACGCTCCCATAGAATATCCTCTCCTTTCAGTCTAGCTCTTCTCACTTCACCTCTCTTTTTTATTTCTTTCTTTCTTTGCTGAAAATCAGGCTTAAATCCCAGCCCGAAGCGATCGTTCTTCATCATGACAAATTGGGATATAAACTCCCTTGCAAGCATATACCGAGACCCTTTCCTGTCTTGGCTCCTTTTCCTAGAGTCTCTCGCACAGTCATCTTAGTACAATCAGATAAACGCGGGCGAGGAATCTTGTTTCCTTCAGCAATGAAAGTAGCGTTGACAAATTCTAAAGCTCTGAAGGAACACTCTAGGGCATTCTCATTCGTCTCAATATATGGGGCGTCAGTCGTCACAGAAGCAATAATCTCTTCCTCTGCCCCAATACTAATCAACTGGCCATTTGTCACGAATTTAATTTTTGGTGCAAGGACGAAGGGACTGCCCCTGCAGAATGAATCCATGGCCTCCCAAGCAAACAATTATATGAGGGATTGATGTCCATCACCACAAAATCAATATTGTAGACAGTTGGTCCAATCAACAGTGGTATCTCTATCTTTCCAAGCACATCCCGCTGGGTTCCATCAAAAGCTCTAACAATGTTTTGGTAGGCCCTCATATGTGAGCTGTCCACCGGTAACCTCCGTAATGTGGCCATAGGCATAACATTAAGTGCAGACCCATTGTCAATCAAAACGCCTGACAAGACATGACCATGACAATGAGTTGTGATATTGAGGGCTTTTACTGATCCCATTCCACCATCAGGAATTTCATCATCAGTGAAAGTTATGTAGTTGTCAGCAGCTATGTGCCCTACAATTCGATCCAACTTGTTCACTGATATATCCTCAGGCACAAATGTTTGATTGAGCACTTTTAACAAAGCATTCCGATGTACTTCTGAATTTATTAACAAATCCAGAATCGAAATCCGTGCTTGTTGCTTGTGTAGCTGTTCAACTACATTATACTCACTATGTTTTAAAAACTTCAAGAATTCTTGAGCTTGCGTTTCTGTTACCGGCTCATTGATTGGTGGGAATTCATCATCAAATATCTTTTGCGGTACCACCACAGTTTTTCCTTTGCCTTCACTTTGTCCATTTCTTTTGACA